ATGTAATTAGCATATGTGCAATATGTAATTATGTTGCTAATCTCAATCCAGGAAGCCTGAAAACATGAATAATACGACTTTTCAAGGGTTTTCTATGACGAGGAATTCATTTTTGATACCATTTTTTTATTCCAAGTAATGCAATTGTCTTAAATAGCATAATTAGCATAATTATGTACAATGTATGGACTTCAATGTCATTGTTTATATATAAAGCCTAAAAAATGGTGCAATGCAACATTGTAAACCACTTTTGAAAGACTAATCATTAATTCATGAGAAAATGTTCCTTGCATATATAGTATAATTAGCCTAATTAGCATAATCATCTAATTAGCATATATGTGCAATATGTAATAATGTTGCTAATCTCAATCGAGGAAGCCTGAAAACATGGATAATACGACTTTTCAAGGGTTTTCTATGACGAGGAATTCATTTATGACACCAGTTTTTTATTCCAAGTAATGCAATTGAGTACGTGCTTGGTTTCGGTACGAACCCGCATTTTTCGCCAAGTACATGTTCATGTACATGTTTATGGCTGCCTGCTACTTAGAGATCACTGGAGCGAATGAATAGCCAGACACCAGAGACCTATTCAGAGAATCGTTCATCTATTGTGTCTTTCAAATGTATTGGTAATGAGAATGATAGTTGAATCTAAAGGGCTCTTTTGTGCTCTTACAACCTCTCCTACCGTGTTCTCCCCCGCTATGCCAACGTGGGAATATTCATGTCCAGTACTAGTGCGTACGTGGTATCTTTACTGATCTATATTCATATGTTCTTAAGTACTTAGTATTATTCCATACTTCATTTTACTTCTACACATTATCGAATATGCATTTGTCCTAATTTCAAAAGTATAATTTGAGCAATGCATATTTTTTTACATGAAATATGTGTTTACTTTTGTTTTTGTTTTAAAAGTTTTACTTATTTCATATTTAACATAAATACATACATATGTTATTAACTGATTTAATATCTTTTTACACTTCGTTTTGTTTATACTATATATGTATACCAACAGATGTTGATGATCATAACTTATTTCAATTAAGGTCAATATAGTCTTAATTAACTTAAGTGTGTTTAGCTTATTTCCTATATGTTGTTTCGTTATGGTTGTTAATTTGTCAGTGTTATATTACTTTTGTTTATATGTCATGATTATGTTGCTTTTTATCAACACGGCCCTGATTGAAACCAGTCTGCGAACTGTTTCGGACTTTTACCGTGTATATTTAAAATAAACTCAACTCAAACTAATTATTAATTATGATAATTTCGTAAACCGAATCGCGCCGCAGTGATCTGTGATCTTGTTTTCAGATCATAAGCGGAGGGCGAAAGTCAAATACAATGCTTAGTTTTTGAGTTGCCTGCCACTACCACACAAATTAAGCACACCTTGACTAATACTTAATATTTCAGATGTGTTTTTTGTTGATTTTTTTTGCGACTAGCGAACACCCCTTAAAGATACTATGTCCCTTTTGCAGCCGACATCATGTTCTGTACAACTTTACAGGAATTTTGAATCGGTTATGTATGTCCTATTTGTGAAATTTAAACTTGAGCAGTGTCCTTATTTTCAAATTATGCAAGGAAATCCGTTTACTTGCTAGACTTCACTGTCAGACACTATCGAGTGACTGACTTGCTTTTTTCACCTTTGGTAATAACATACACAAAATGAGCTGTAAAGGGTACATGAGCATTTGTCTACATCAATAACCCACTCTTAAACCAAAATTGAACTGATTGAATCTTTGCGCAGCATAAAACGTACGACCATTCGGTACAATGGTCTGAAAAATCAGACTATTACTTTCTGGCTCTATAGCTCTTAAGTCGATTCGACAACTAATAGTCGTTATTTTCCCGCTTAAAGACATTTTCAAGCCCCCCTTTGTTTAGGGAAGTTCTAAATCAGTATTGTCTTTCAAATGCCGTTGGAATTTAACCTATTCAGTTTTTTGGCCTGCAATGTACTATGTCCCAATTGCAGGCCAAAAATGAAAATGTTAAATTCCAACGGCATTTGAAAGACAATAGGCTACTAATTCAGAACTTCATTTAAAAAAGGGGGGCTTGAAAATGTCTTTAAGTGGGAAAATAACGACTATATAGTTTGATCCTTGCATCATTTGAATATTAGGACACTGCTTACGTTTAAATTTCACAGATAGGATATATTTATAATTCCTGTAAAGTTCTACAGAATTTGATGTAGGCTGCAAAAGGGACATAGTATCTTTTATCAAAGGGGTCGTCCAACAAAGAGACAATTTTTACCCTTTTTAAGGAAAATAAATATTTTGTGAATGATATATTTCAAGGAAACCTTAAAGTACAGGTCCACTCCAAGAATAACTTACTTTCAATATAAGCAGACAATCAGACAAACCAATCAAACAAGTTTGAGCAAAATCGGATAACTAATAAGAAAGTTATCAATTTTTGAAAAAAGGATGTTAATCTATGGAACAATCAGCGAAGATGACTTCCCGCCGGAAACCAATAGCGTTACACACATCATAAGCCAGGAAATCTCAGCTTCAACGGACAGGATCCCGCTCACCCCCCCCCCCCCCCCTTCACACCCCAACACAAAACGTGGTGAGCCTAAACGACTTCCCGCTGGGCAATACTGATGTATCCCCAGCTTACAGACAAGTCAGGCTGTATAATTGTATAGATACGGCAATAAAACAATCCTCTAATAACATCAAATTTTTGTCTCCCCTTCCTAACAGACCGCTTGCTCTTAGTGTTACATCACCACGACAAATATATTTCTTGTGTAAGCGAGTATAGGCGTCCAAATTCGCAATAATGCCGCAAAATGGACGAATTAAATGCAGATGAAGTAATTCACATGATGTACATTCCGAAAATATTTTGGAAGAACATGGAGGCAGGAATTCTGATGAAATTTTCACTACACTCAAATGCGGGTGAAAACCAATCTCTCGAAAACAGACTATTTTGGTCAGAAAGCCGATTTATAGAAAACAAAGGTTATAAGGTACACCCAGTGGCGTACGCAGGATTTTTTTCAAGGGGGGGGGGGGGGGGGGGGGGCGGGGGGGGGGGGTTAACATTTTGAAATTGGGCCAAAAATTTCGCAACGACTCAGCCAGCCGCTGAATAAGCGCGCGGGGGGGGGGGGGTGGGTAAGAGGACACTTTTTTTGGGGGGGGGGTCTCGAAATTTGACATTTTGCTCCATAGGGGGGGGGGGGGGGGGTAAGGTCACTTTTTTAAGTCAGCCATTGGCATAATGTTTTTTCTCCATAAATGGGGGGGGGGGTTGCACTAAAATACACACATACAACAAACTAAAGGGGGGGTTAACCCCCCCCCCCCCCCTCCTGCGTATACGCCTGGGTACACCACATGTATTATCTGACCGTATAAAAAGTTCAAGTTCTGGAAAAAAAATAAGATCGGGAAAATTCACGCAAGGCCCGTGTTATGATTTTGAACGCGACCAGGCGTAGCCCTTGCGAGAGTAGATTGTGAATCAAAATATGCCACTTAACACTGTAAAGATAAATGTACAAAATTCGCCCCATCGGGCTTCGAATTAAATCGATCAAAACATGTAGTTGGGAAAAATGCTCGAAGTAGCTCTTGAACGCCTCTGAAAAGGCGGAAATTATATGTGGACGAAAATCGTATCATACAAGTGATAATGAATAAAGAAATGGAGCGAATCAAGTAAGATAAGCTAACACATAAGAAGCTGTATCACAGCTGCGACTGTACATGTATAGTTCATCAGTTGTATCCATTTATAATGGCGGCCAGGGGTGGGAAGGAAGGTGGTAAAAAGATTGTTCACAAATCTGACACGCGGTGCTATGGCACGAACCTTTCTGGTTTTATTGCTGACGCCAATACTTCCGCGACCCCCTCAATTGACCTCGGTTCGTGTGGTCTACGGCTCGGTTCACACTTCTCCGCTCAGGTTGGGAATAACCTTTTTTTTTTTTTTTATTACTTTCGACAAGTTCACTAAAATGTATTATTCCCACTCTGAGTCAAATCAAGAAGTCAACAAATTTCATTTGTATGTGTGATTGACCATGGTCTTTATTGAGAGCTGATGACCATACTTAACTCTTTTTCAGTCAAACTGGTCAGCAAAGGAATTATAATGAAAACAAAACAAACAACAATGAATGCAAATCATTACTTCGAGCATAATAATATGTCGAGAACGATCTGTGGTGAGCCCAAACGACTACCCGCTTGGCAATAATTATGTATCCCCAGCTTACGGACAAATCAGGCTCGTATAAGGGTGCGTTTAAGCTCAATTTTGAAGGCAGAATGAACGGTGTGAAACGCTCATCGTAAAAGCTCATCGTAATCGCAGTTCCACGGTGTACTGTTTATGCTCACTTATCTGGCTCCTCCAGGAAATTCTCGCTGGGTGGCCTCGCAGGTGCATTCGCAAACATGCACTGCGTATGCTACGTAGACCCACTAAAGGTCAGTGCGTTGACCCCATTTAAACGCGTTTACAAATGATTGTGTGTTTATGCTTCCCCAGAATCGCCGATTTTGCAGAATCGTCGATCGTAAACGCACATTTTTTGTGAGTTTACGATCGGCGATCGTGATCGCCGTTTTTTGGTGATTCTACAAAAGTGAGAAAGGACGCAATTGTGTTTTGAACTAAACGCGTAACAGATGCCTGATTCTGGCCAGAAAAAAAGTTGAGCATAAAGATACCCTAAGTGTATAGATACGCGTATACGAACAGTAAATTATTATACATCTCGTGAAAGAGTGTTTTATCCCAAACCATTTGGTATCATTTGTGTGTGGGATATGCTATTTTGTTCACACTTGGATGAACAGGAGACACTGTTGAAGAGAGTGCAAAAACCGACTAATGCTCATCATTACCATTTGTAATATTAGTTATTATTGTCATTATTAAGTTTTTTTTATTTTTTTATTTATTTGTTTCAATAACAGAGGGGACTCTCTCTTTCTTCTAAAGCATGGTTATGAAGTTAGCAGTTCGGATAGTGCCGAGGCTATGCTCAAGCAAGCTAGAAAGGCCAAAATATCTCATCAAAGTCCAAATGAAGCTGTTCAAAACTGGGGTGAGTTCTACATTCAACGTTTTTAATCACTTCATAATAGGCATATATTATGTGTGGAAATGTACATGTTTAAAGAATGTGCGGGTGCTTGCTAGTATTTGGGAGCGTTCGTGTGTATAATCAATCACATTATGTGAGGGTTGTGGTGAGTGTGTATGTGTGTGTTGGGATGAGTGTTGGTGTGAGGGGGCAGGAAGGAGCAGGACTTTATACCAGTAAAACAACCTCCAGATTTCTTGCTACATAAGTGAATAACATGTACAATTGACTTATAATTATGTTTGTGTACTTTAAAGGTATTACAAAGTTTTGGTATGGGGTCATGAATTTGGTTCAAATTAACATATCGGAAGCATATGCGTTCCTACAATATTCATTGATCGTTGTCGCGGTTGAAATCGAGTCTAAAGTTATGAAATTTTAAATAATAAACTCTTTATGTTGTATAGCTCCTTCTCAAGGTCAAAATATTAATTTAGCTATGACGCAATGTTTCTTGACTAAAATTGACCGTTTAGCTATTCCCGTTTGGAAATTATATATCACAACTACATATTATGAGATTTTCATGATCGCAGCTACCATTGTACGGCCATAGGCGCTATTTGAAATTTATTAAAATATTTTTAGTGCTTATAATACATTCACAGGGGCATCCAAATATATCAAAATTGTAAAGATTTTTCAAAATTTCCCCAAACTTTGTATTACCTTTAAGTTTACTTTGTTGCTCAGTTATACAAACTCTACATGAGGTTTTTTTTAATTATGTTTATGTGTAAGCAATTAATATTGAAAACGTGTATTTATTTTATTCATTTGTATATTGTTCTCGCTTGTAATACATTTGGAGGGATAAAACGAGATCCCCCCCCCCAAAAAAAAAAAAATTAATAAAGGTTTCTGTGGTGTGTACACGTATGTGAGTGTGCGTTGTACTTGTGAGAATGAGTGAGTAACGGATGGAAGTGGGTTTTATCTGGGGTTGGGAAGTCATGGAGGGAGTTATAATGGATGTTACATTATAACTGATTCCATTCCTTTTTTTTCCATATGTTTTTAGATCGAAGTGAATGAATTGTACATGGATTTTTTTTCTTCATTATGTTATATTAATGTACAATTTTCACGAATTACTTGTTTTGACATTTTAAGTAATCGAAATAAAAAAATTACTGAAAAACGAAAAATACCGATTCGGCCCATTAAAGTAGCATTTTCAACTGTTGTAAGCTTATACATTTCTTCTTGTTTGTTGAACTTCGTTCCATCTTTCACCATTTTTCCCGACTGCTTTCGAGGAAACTTTATTAGATTTTGTGTTTAGAGTTTCCTTAAAAGTGAGAACAGAAGATAAAATTGAATATGAGATGATAGAAAAAATATTTCATGAATTTATTTCGGCCAGAGCTTAGCAAGTCTTAATTAAACATAGAGATTGATGTGGTTAATATTTGTATAAATATGCATGCATAATGTATTAATGATATGAAAAGTTTTGCTGATATTATCAAAAACACTTATGTGTAATGAAGTACAAATGGAGATTGATATAGATATGACATGATTTTAGCACAATTCGCTTCTACGCATTTTGTGTATATCTTATTGCACTTGGTTGTGATTTGTAATTGTGAATTCACTATCTTGAGAACAGTTGAAACCGGTCATAGCGAAGAAGTGAATTATCAAGGATTTATATTATTTCAGTTGTTGAAAGCAGTATGTGTATCTTACAAAGGACAGAGGATTATCCAAATTTAATATTTTGTTAAATATATATGTATACGTATATTAATGATAAAGAAAAAGATTAAAACAAAAACTAGTCCTACGGCGGTTGACGAAATAGACAAGTGAAGAAGAAACAATGGAAAAAAGAGCAGGAGACACAAAATATACGAATTTTCGGCTTTAAACCTTTGTATATAAAGCTACGGTTGTTTTATTATTTCTTCTTCATTTACATATGAATATATATACGGTGGAACTTCGTTATAAAAAGGTCCCTGAGACAATTATAATTACCTTGTTATATCAGGAATCTGTTTGTATCATAGGACAAACAAAAAGAATATAAAGAGCATTGAACAGCAAAATCACCTTGTTTCAACAGGTATCTCATTAAGCAGAGCTCTTTATAATGAGGTTCCACTGTATATAGATATATATCTCTCTCTCTTTATATATATTCTTCTTCTTCTTTACATGCCATGGCCTGAGACGTTGGGGACCATGGAATGCCACTACTCTCTGTCCCATATTCTATGAAGTAATTCATTCTCCCTGATATCAATTCCACTTTCAGAAATCCCACTAATTCATCCACTACCCCTACCCCTCATCCCCTCGATTCTTCCAGTCAGTGCAAGATTTTCCCCAGTGCAAGAGTTAGAGTATCAATATGTTCGCCTCCAATATGTTGATATTAAGTGTCAACGTACAAACAGCTAATACATATTAATGTATACATAAATGTATTTATGTATACATAACATTTTAATTTAAAAACGTTCATTTGATTAAATCATTTTTTTGCTAGAAATCAAGAATGCCAACTGGCTAACCCTTCCCGAAGACCTCAAAGGATACGGACAATTCGATGCAGTACTCTGCATAGGAAACTCACTGATTTGTTTACTTGATCCATCACCAAATTTTGACCTCTATCGTCGGTGTTTCGAGAACTTCAAATCCATGCTCAAACCAGGAGGAGTTTTCATGGTTGACCATCGGAACATGGACGTGATCTTGGACCACGGTAGCCCTATCAACAAGCACGTATACTTTAAGGTAAAGTCCTGTTGACTTTTGTTTGAAAGGCCCTGGTTATAAACACATGATAATAATAATAATAATAATGATGATAATAATATTAATAATACTAATAATAATATTCGGTTCTTGTATAATGCTTATATCTGCCAAACTTGACACTCCTGGTACTTTACATGATAATATTAATAATAATAATAAAAATGATGATGGACCAGGCGTTACGGAACTGTGGATCATATGATTTACGATTCGAGTCCCACCGGATAGGTCCAGGAATATGTCTAGATTAATATACTAAAAGTCCTCATAAATCCTCCTTGAGCGTTTTCCGCAATCCAAGATGGCGTCCAAAATGGCCGCCATGTCCTGAATTTCTTATAACTTTGCAACTAGATAACCAAAATACCAAATTTTAATGTCTAAATATATGTTTTTTAGCATAAGGAACTCAACCAAATACTTATTAACAAATTTTGAAACACACAAGTAGCTATAAACCACTTTAGCCCTTTTCGAAATCCAAAATGGCTCCCAAAATTGCCGCCATTTCCTGTATTTCTTATAACTTTGCAACTAGATAACCAAAATACCAAATTTAAATGTCTAAATATATGCTTTACAGCATAAGGAACTCAACCAAATACTTATTAACACATTTTGAAACACACAAGTAGCAGTAAAACCACTTGAGCCCTTCCCTAAATCCAAAATGGCACCCAAAATGGCATCCAAAATGGCATCCAAAATGGCCATTATTTCCAATTTTATCTCATTGTACTAAAGTAGATACGCTATGAATATAATCAAATGTCTAGACTAGAAAATCACCATTGAAATACATATCAGAACAATAATCTTTTAAATAAAATAATACTTCTTATGCATAAAGTACACACACACACCCACATACACATATGGCTGCTTCCATCATCCTCAACGATATCAGATTGACAGTGTGCAACCGTGAAGAGGACTTAACATTAGATGGAACTGAAAATGTAGACACATTAGTACCAAGGTCGCTAAAGCTTGTTATACATAATGACTGTAAGATAGGTGCGGTATGGATGTTGCTTTGCTGCAGCACTTGTTGGAGGTAGACTTTCGAACTGAAAGGATGAACTCAGAGAACTGCGACCAATTGCCCGTTTAATATGTTATACAGTATGACGGTAGTCATCAAGATATTCAAAACTGCTGGCCCTAAGGCTTTCCCGGCTCTTGTTTACCTCGTCATGGGTGCTTCCACTGCGAATGTATCAAACAAGTCATAGTCAAGTTTCTTGTGGACCATATTGAAAGTTTTACTACTGCCCTGACTGTAGATTGCAGAGACCGTATCACACCCTGTCACAGCATAAATAAACATCAGGCAATTTCTAGTGTCCCCTATGGCATGCTGAATTTCATGAATGTTGAAGACCGTGACATGATTACTGCGGCATAGCATGTGCCTATCTGGGGAAGTGGTTGCCGGAGCAACTAGCATGACCAGTAAGTCTGTGTCCTTACCAACGACAGCAACGGGCACCTGTTATGACTCTGCAACTGCTTGTGCTAATGGAGTTATGTTGTGCTGTAGAGACAATCAGGATAGTGGCATCCGCTTCTGCCTGCTTAATACGTATTTTGTCACGTAGAGTTTGTATAAGTCTCATCTTATTGTTGCTGTTGGCAATGAAAGCTGTTTTGGGTTGTGCTTGTTGGCATATAATATATTATCATCAAATAAAGAGGTACATATTTGGGTTATTCGTCTCTACTCAGCTACCTTTGTCGAAGTTGCACTTCCAGATCCATCGAACACCACCGTCAAATGAGCTCCATAATGCTTAAGGGTGCAGTAGGCGACCACCATCTTAAACAAAGAGACCATTTCTGGCAGGAGCAGGAGACCCAGATAAGTCTTTGTTGGCTTCCGCATCACCCCACCTTTGAAAGGGAAAGTGCGTGGGAATAAGTTAATAAGCAAAGAACGATTCCATCTCAGTGTCGTTATTCAGGACACATGTGATTCTGTTGAACATTAGCGTTGGGTTGACTTATGTGCTCTGTCCCCTGCTTTTCACTCTCTTACTCTAATTGGCACCAATGGTCTTCACCTTGTTCTTACGATGTACGTGGCTTGATATCTGTAAACTTCCTACCATGCATTCGTTTCGGGTGCCGCTACTAGGCCGATTTTTACAGGTTAATTACAATTAACAGATGAGCCAGCGACGATGCCAGTTGACAAGGAGACCAGGCAATTAGTTTCGTATCCAGCAAATGGTGATGTGCCTGCAGCCATCCAACAAAGATACATCTTTCTTTATTGTCACTTGACCTGGTACTTTGCTATATGCCTTTATGCTGATCTGTGTACTAGCTCCGGTGAACTGTTCCAGTTCATCACAGGTAGGAACACAGTGAGGAAGTGCATGAACCCACTTAACAAATGTACCGTATGTGATTCCACGTCCACGAGTCATTTCTCTAGATGTTTTCAGCTGCTGCATCAGGAACTTTTCAATGGTCTGATTAGAGAAGTTTCTACCCCAGAACGAATCCACACGGCGGATGGTGAAGTATCCCTTTTCTGCGAATTGTGTATATTCATTTCCTGGCATGGTTTGCTCTAGACCTTCCATCTGTTCTAAAAACAACCTGGCAGATTTGAACTAGGGAAGATGTCCTGCAGCATGGAAATGTTGTATCATTTCCCTCACACAGCTGAGACGGAGCTTACAGTCCCCTGTCCTTTCAGCTGGAATGAAAAATTGCAGAAGAGACACATAAATGTCGGATATACTGCAACCAAAGTTTCCCTGTCCTACTGTGTCCTGCTGCCCGGTCAATGAGTTGTGAAATGATCTGACATTAACTGTTTGACACACTCTTCTCAGGTACAGCAGTCACCTTCTTGTCCTGGTTGAGGAGTGCACTATACAGATTTGCTAAGTGGTCCTTATCTATGCTGTCTAAGACGCCATGTTTACCCATCAACACACTAATGGGTGCAGCTGAAGTAAGAATGTGAGCACGACGAGAAGGGGAAATGCATGACCAGATTGCATATGTATGACAGACCCTTTGGCGTACACGGTCTCCCATAACTCTGCAAGCATACTTCCGCCCATGACGTGGACTATATGCTGCCGAGATATGACATGAGGAGGTGAAATCCACCAAAACGGACGATTACTTTTCCTAGGTCTTGAGAAGAAGCTACAATCTCTGCTGCCTTGATGTTACTGCACATATTCTTCAATTATGTTTTTCACATTGTGACTGTGCAAAGTATAGTGCCTTGTGGATGGCACTCGGATTGGAGGGGTCTAAATTTATGAAGGGCAGAGATCAATTCTCGTACTGGTCACTCTGCATGGCCACTTTCATGAAACCACTCCATGGAGGACAAAGCTCATGTTGCTCAGCTCAAGATGTCTATCTGTTCACGTGAGCCACACTTCCGGTCTTTATACGCAGCTATTCCAACAATATTGGCGACAGAAATGACCTGGTCTACTAGCAGAGATGACATTGCATGTGCTATTGAGGTGCATTTCCTGTTCGAAACCTTGTGACTTTTGCCTTTGCGACATAAATTGGTACTAATGTGTCTCCATTTTCAGTTCCATCTAACGTTGAGTACTCTTCACGGTTGCACACTGTCAGTCTGATGGAAGCAGCCATATGTGTGCATATGTGTGTGTGTGGGTGGGTGTGTATACTTTATGTATAAGAAGTATTTAATTATTTAATGAAAGGTTTATTTGTACTGATATGTATTACAATGGTGCTTTTATAGTATAGACATTTTATTGTATTCATAATAGATAGATAGATAGATAATTTATTGGTCCATATTCAAAAACATAGAAAATTGGCCTCCACTGGCAGCACATAAACATAATACAAAGTAGTTACAAAATAATTGATATGTCACATAATGTACATAAATTCACACGAGATCATGACATTAACAAAAAGCATAAGTATAAATTACATAGTAATAGGGAAAAATAGGGAAAGAAGTCGACATTCAAAGATTGAGAAGTGAGGAAAAAGTCGTAAGGAGACTGAGGAGCAAAAATAGTAATAAGAGAGAGAGGGGAGAGGGGGAAAGAGACAGAGAGGGAGGGGAGAGATAGAGAGATAGAGGGAGAGAGAGAGAGAAAGATAGGAACGAAAGGTGGACGTAAGGAGAGAAGAGGGTATAAATAGAGGGAGGGGAAAGAAAAGGAAAGGAAGGGGGACGAGTTTAAACACGACACATGTAACTGTCTATCTGAGAGGTAATAGACCAGTTTCGCAGTGTATCCACGTTGAATGCGCAGGTCCCCGCGAAGTGCGCGGACACGAATGACTCCTCCCACCCGCCAGGAACAATCGTATTCCAACAGGCAGAATGCGAGCCGCTCACGAAAGACGCTACCAGGCTGGCAATACATGTTGACAATACATATCTATTTTAATACAATGAGATAACATTGGAAATGGTGGCCATTTGGGGTGCCATTTTGGATTTTGGAAAGGGCTCAAGTACTTTTACTGCTACTTGTGTGTTAACAAATGTATTAGTAAGTATTTGGTTGAGTTCATTATGCTGAAAACATATATTTAGACATTTAGATTTGGTATTTTGGTTATCTAGTTGCACGGTTATAAGAAATACAGGACATGGCGGCAATTTTGGGCGCGATTTCGGATTTCGAAAAGGGCTAAACTGCTTTATAGCTACTTGTGTGTTTCAAAATGTATCAACATGTATTTTAATGAGTTCCTTATGCTATATTTAGACATTTAAATTTTGTATTTGGGTGATCTAGTTGCAAAGCTACATGTATAAGAAATTCAGGAAATGACGGCCATTTTGGACGCCATCTTGGATTACGGAAAACGCTCAAGGAGGATATGCGAGGACTTTTAGTATGTTATTCTAGACATATTCCTGGAGCTATCCTGAAAAAATCAGCTTGTTACCGAAAATGTCCAGGTTTAAGCCTATTTTGACCAAATGCTCTTGGCCTATGAGGGCCCTGCGCGTATAAATATGACACGCAATAATCTTATCGTACGGCCATTGTTGCCTGAACGAATGGGAAGGGGTTCTAGAGTTAAATAATCTAATTGGTCAAATTACACCACCTGACCAAGCAGCATTTTTAGCTACTTTTTAAATACTGTATGGAATGCGGTTGGAACTGTTTTCTCTTCTTTCCTTCTCACATTCATGACGAAATAGACACACTATGGTTACCCTAATTTGTTCTATCTCTCTCTCTCACTCCCTTTCTCTCTTTCTCTCTCTCTCTCTCTCTCTCTCTTTATAACGTCAATCCAGGAAGATACTATCAACAAAATATCCTCTGAGATAGTTAAATCTCCTGGAAAACAAGATTTCGTCAACATCACTTTCGACATGATAGTTGATGGTAGTGCTCCTGACAAGGGTAAACAAAATGGCGCTGATACTACATCAGGAAACAACAAGTGTAATATTGAAAAGTAAGTAATTACAATGGTTTAAAGCAGGACTGCACTACATGTAGCTACTTGCGCCCTCTATATATAACAAACAATGCCTAAGCGGTGACCAGATCCTTTAAAAAAATGTTAAGTGAGAGTTGATAAGATGAGGTAAACACCTGTCAGTGACCATGAAGGGAGGTTTAATCCATCCTGGCCAAACTAGTACAGACAGGCTTTAAAAATCTAAACAAACTTGTCTTTTTTTGCAAACAAAAATTGTCGTGTTTCATTTTACACTACCATAATTAAGAATCCTTCGCATTGAAAGGAAAATTTAAAACTTAACTCGACAATTTTCTAAACGTGTATATATAGCTGATATGTCTTGGATTCTACATATTGTGGTAGAGTTTGTATTGAATGCGAAAGGAAATAGTGAGGTGAGTAGCGTGTTTCTTGCCGATAAATACATTGGTTTATGGATATGCAGCTAAATCATACAGTAGGGTTCCCTATAGGCCACATAGCCCTTTGGAAATTACATGCATAAGAAGAAGTAGAGAGGGGTACGTGGCGATGTGACTGTCGTAGTGTGTTTCATTCATCCATTAGGGACTTTAAACTTGCACGTCGACAAAGTGAACTGCTATGTGTGACGTCACACGTACCAGTCCACTACGTCGACGTGCAAATTTAAAGTCCCTATTGAATGTCAATAAGGAAATCCACTCCATGTGTGTGTGTTTATATATTGTTTTTCTTTTCTTTTTATTAGGGCAACTGTGCCTCTTCAAGCTATCCGCGCTGGGCAAGTAGCTACCATGCTTGCTGAAGTTTTTGGTGAGAATTGCGAGCAGGCCCTCTACGGGGATTTCAAGTCAGCTCCGGTAATTTCCGACACCGCCTATTTTCAGCATGTAATAACAAAGAAAGAATGAGGAATAGAAGAAAAAAAAGAAGACTGACGAAGACCCACCCCCTCTCCCCCTCTCCCCCTCTCACACTCGCTCATTCACTCCCCCTCTTTGTCTATCTTAGGTTTCCCCTTCACCCACACCCTTCTCTCTATCCCTCCATTTTACTTCTCCCTCAGCGTCCACCACCCCCTCTTTCTCTCTCTCTCTCTCTCTCTCTCTCTTCCTCTCACATCTTATTTCTCACTCACCCCCTACTTTCACACCCTTTTCGTCTGTTCCTCCTGATGCATATACACGAGCCCTATATTTTCTTATTCTCACCTTTCCTCTTGTTTCATTCAATATGTATTATAATTATATTTGGGGTTTGTTCCAATATTGATGAAATACTGAACCTTGAACCTTTTTACAGCTTGTTTTTGATAATATTTCGTACTTTCTGTACTTATTTATGTATATTTTGTGAATGTGCTTGTATTAATGACCATTTATTTGAAGTATCTTTAAAGAGAAGGTTGAGTTCTGGGAAGAGGTGAAAAACAATGTGTTAACGTTATCATTGTAGTTAAGCAAGTGCGGAAGAACATCAGAGAAAAATGTTCCCTTAAAAGCATGGCTTTTTAAATCCCTTCATATTCTATATATGACGAGTAACAGCTTAATAAATGATGCCCAATTTGTATACTTTATGCAGTTGTGCAGTGCCATATACATCTTTCTGTGTAAAGTGCTCATAACTCTATCAAAACAGGGCCAAATTTCTTATCATGTTGTGACTCCAGGACGTTGGAGTTCACACCAATACTTATATTCTAAATGATAAACTTTTTTTCTGATCGATTCCACATCGTTTCTCTCACAATGCAATCGCATGACCAGAACTAAACTTTATCTTTAACTCTTCTTTTTTGTTCGCGTTATTTTTCTGTAATAATTTTGATTCCATAATACGGAACGGACTTTAGCAGGGAATTATACTTTGATTTACAGGACACATAAGTTCGCGAAATCTGATAAATTGCATGAGTAATATTTGACGTTGGTATTTGAACATAGAAATCTCGTATGGAACGCGTTTTTTCTATAATAATTATTATTATTGTTAGCATTATGATTGTTATGGTTATTTTCATATTTATTATGTAGTTCGTAGGAACAAAACTTTTCGTATTCAATTTGTTTTCTATTCTTACATTCTGGTTTTTTATATCGGTACTTGCTTGTGATATATACTATTTATGGATGATATTTTCACGTGTATTCTAGTGGATGCCTTACTATTGTTAACGTATGGAACTGAAATAAATTCGTGATTTTTAAACATAAAAAACGAAGTCAGAAAACGTTGAGTCTTTTTGTTGCTTTGATTTTAATTAGAGGATCTCCAGTTGAAGAGGTTCAACATTACATATGACAATGTTAATCAAGGAAGAAGACGAGAAAGTAAACTCCTAAAAAAGCTTATGCAATTGAAGTTTGAGCGTTGATATATTATCTCTTGTAGTTACTTATATTTAAAAGCCGACTTATTTCACGTAAAGGAGGACTAACTCCAAAGAATGACTTTAGTTGTTCTGAGAGATTTATTGCATTCTCGCCCATCAATCTTGAAGATTCCTCACCAAAGTGTAAGAAAAAGGCACAAAGCAACAATAAAGTTCAGTTTCTCTGCAAGACATGGGCATCGCCATTTTCTTGTTGCTTGGCGTACTATGCGGAGTCGTTTATCAACTAAATGTATTCAGATTCATGGATGCCTCATTCCCAGACGTGTGTGGTGTTGAAGCATTCATTCACTTGCTATTATCCTTTGTACTTCAATTGCCAGAATGAAAATTGCACAACAAAGTTGGTGCTCTTCTTTGGTGAAGGTTTAGCTAAAATGAAATAGATTTTCAACCGCTATATTTTAGTACTTTAAATAAATGAGTTTCAGTTGTTACTCCTTTATATATTTTTCACTATATGTAATGTTTCCCTTCTCGGCTATGATTTTCCCTTATTGAAAAGTAAAGGTTCTGTTATTGAATTAAAAACAAAAACATCCAATTAAAGCTTGGTGCATGATACATTTACAACTGCGCCTGGTACGTTACATGTTTAAGGAAATGGCTGCGCCCAAGTCTTGCTAAAATACATTATGCCCAAAAATCTTCATTTATATATCTCTTGTACACGTTCGTAAGATTTATTGTACTTTAAAGGAGCTACACAAAGACAAAATCACTACAATTGATAATTAGAACAAATTACATATGGATGGAAAGATTTTCTCTTGAAAAACAAGAACAATTTGCTGAGAAATCATATAGATATCATGGACAGGCGTAAAATGCATTTTTTCAAGACCCTTCTTAGACCCCCGAACGCCCCTGAACGTAAGCCAAACACACGAGCGTAGCGAGCTCTGAATATTGACGTCACACACTGGACAAACAGCTCAGTACCGGCCGCATACCAGAGTCGCGCGTGTATTAGTCTGCAGCTAGCCAGCCGTGTCCCGTGTGTGACGTCACAAATATTGACGCTCTACAAAGGACCGCTGAAGGCAGAAAATCTGGATCTCAAAACTAACATTTTTGAGAGTTGATTACTGCGGGCCCCAAACATATTTTGAAGAGGAGAGTTGTTGTATTTGATCAGTAAGGCTTCCCCTTCGCAATGATATGAGTTTTGCATCAATTCAAAACACTTTTGATTCTTCGTGTGTCTACTTTAAAGGTATATATCAGCTTTGGAAACGCCCCCCTCTCAAAATATGAAATGGAAGCTCTTATTACCAGTCATGTCAAAGAATATGTTTTGACTAATAGACCTACGTGATGATACAAATTTTGCCGAGAAACCGCCTACTAATTGATATATTTGGTAACTTATTAAATCTATTTGGAGCTGATAGATAGATATATCGCGCACCTACCGCGCAGTCCCATACACATCTTTCTCTGTACAGTGCTTGTTACTCTACCAAGACTGGGCCAAATTTCTTATAATTTTGATGATTCCAGAACCTTGCAGTACACACCAATACTTATATGCTAGATGATCAACCTTTTCTGATCGATTCCACAACGTTTCTTTCACAATGCAATCGCATGACCTAACTGGTCTTTATCTTTAAAAGGCAAGAATTCGTTTCGTTTTTCAGAATACTAACACTTCTTCTTTCGGGTTAGTTCTCCTTTAACACTAATGCCCCATGACTACCCTATTATGGAATGTGCAGCACACCTGAATATGGGGCCCGAGTCAAAAGTAAAATGTGCCAAAATGCATAGGTATGACAGTGACGTCTTCATTTGTTTGAAGGATGGATTTTATTTGATGATATCGAGGCGGTCAGTCGTGCATGAGGTGCAATGTGGTGTTATCACCGTTTGTTTGGAAGATGAAATGTGTTACAATCAACCGATTGTTAAATTATCATTGTATCAGTTTTTGTTTGACATGGCCCTATAGTGAGGTGTACTGCACATTAAAAACAAACCATCACTGTAAAGGGGAATAAAGAGGCTTTCATATGTGGCCAATATAAAATCTCATGACATGGCTAGAAGAGAGAGGATCAGGTATATTTTAAGAAATAACATTATTCAATCTTTGGAAAATTATGAAAACAAAATGTATTTGTGTAAGCCAAAACCAGCAAGCCTTCTAAAACAATTTCTAACCTTGGAATCATGGGCGTCAATCCTGGGGGGGGGGGGGACGGGGGACGGGGGACCACGAACTTTCAGGTGGTGAAATGTCCCCCCCCCCCCCCACGATTTGGGGTTTTCTTTTTAAAGAGAGAGAGAGAGAGAGAAGGAAAAGAAGGGAAAGAGGAGTAAAAGGGAAAGAAAGAAGAGGAATAAGAAAAGAAAAGGGGGAAAAAGAGATCGGGGGACGAAAGGGCCTTGCCTCCTCCCCCCCCCCCCCCCCCCCATTAAAATAATAAGAGAGAAGGTAGGACAGGAAAAAAAAAAGGAAAATAGGAGATAAAGGGAAGGAGAAGAAAAGACGGGGGATATCAGTTGCAATTTTCCCGCCAACAAGTTGTGGATCGGGGGGGGGGGGGGTCTTGGGTGAAATAAAAATTAAAACGTGGTTTATTTCTAATTCAATAACGGTTGTTTACAAATAATGTTAAAATGATATAATTTTCCGAGATTTGTTCTCACTTTTTAGTAAATTATACTTTTGTATGCGTTTGTTAGAAAATGATAAATTCCTAAATTTATAGCCAGGCAAGAAATATGCTACTTGAAATGCCTACATGTCAGGGCCCGCGAAACGGCGGGGATCGATATTTGGCTCGCATAATTTCTAATTGCCCCCCTCCCCACCCCTAAGATCGGGAGCCTCGAGCGCCCTCCCCCCCCCCCCCTCACTTTTTTTGAAAAAAGTATATTTAAGAGGGAGCAAGTAGCTACAAATAGGACAATGGGGCTTTAATACCCCTATCCGATGAAAATACAACTTGATATAAATGGAAAACTAAATGAATGAAGAATAAAAATATAAAGGAATAACAAGTATGTACCCTTTCATTATTGCACAAAAGCAAATAAAAACCTGATTTTCAGCACCCTTCCAAATTACGGGTCAACAGGGTCAAATTTACTGAAGTTACAGTCACGACATAACATGTGGACCCTATATAGCTGAGGCAATGAGCCGAACTTACTTTATGCAAAGTAATTGTGAATATACGTACTCATTGCAGGTGGTGTCTTTCTAGCACAGAGCTGTCATTTATGTCTGGATAGTATCGGAATAATTGAATGCAGGGTCAGGAAGAGATCTTAACATTTACATTTTTTCTTCTTTACAGTCCATCCTAAAAATCGATAGACCCAAGAAACAAAGTATTGCAAAATGAATCAGAAATTTAGGAAAGGAAATGTATTCATCATTTTGTTAATGTCAAAGGTATAAGGGTTTACAATGTAATGTACAGAAGTAAGAGAAAAGATGCAAGGACTTGGAAAAGGCTAGCAGCAGCTATGGTTTCGGTTCAAGAGTCTTGTTTTTGTGTTAGAATAGCCCCTAAACCTACATTTCTAGCGTCCGTGTGTACAACGAATGGCAAAGCCCGGTTCGGGTAACCTAACACTGGTTCAGACACAAGAGCCTCCTTCAGGCTGTCAAACACAATGGAACACTCTTCTGTCCGCTTCCACTTGGTATCTTTTTTCTTCAAGGCATACAGTGAGACAGCCTTATCTGCAAATCCCGGTACAAACTTCTGATACCATCCAATCATTCCCCCAAATCTCTCTAGTTCCTTGACAGAGGTAGGCACGGGATACTCTCTGATGGCATACACTTTGTCTGGGTCGGGCTTCAAGCCATCAGCCCCAATGAAATGGCCAATATACCTCATCTCCCTATGTAAGAACTGGCATTTCTCAACATTCACAGTAAGCCCCGCAGTTCTTACCCAAGACTTCCCTCAAGTCTTTGTAATGATCATGTGTGCTACCAGAAAAACAGACAATATCATCCAAGTAGACATATAGCAACACCTTCCAACGAGATCACCAAGTACAGTATGCATCAATCTTTGGAAGCTCGCTGGCCCATTGACAACCCCAAAAGGAAGTACTTTGAACTGAAACAGACCTTGATCGCACACAAACGCAGTCTTCCCTTGATCTATTGGAGCTACTCCCATCTGCCAATAACAACTTTTAAGGTCCAAAAAAGAGAACACCTGAGCTCCATGCAATGAATGGAGAATATCATCTACTGACAGCATTGGATAAGCATCAATCTTTGTTACCGAGTTCAACTTTCGGTAGTCTATACAAATGCGATAAGTGCCTCCCTTCTTTGGCACCATTGCAACAGGGGAGGCCCACGGGGATGACGAGGGCTCTATTTTCCCACTTTCCAAGAGTTTTGATATTTCTTCATCCATGGCTCCCTTTCGCTCAGGACCGATTCTATAGGGGTGTGAACGGGACGGAGCGGCATTGCCCACACCGATGCGATGAGAATCCACATCTGTGAAACCTGGGACGTCAGAAAGAACATCCTGGAACTCATCCAACATAGTCTCAAGTGCTGCCTGTTCGGTGTAGGAAACATCTAACTTGGTTCCAGAAGGCACAGCAATTGTATCTCTGCCCTCCATGTCCAGTTCGTAGTCTGTGTATTCCGGCTCTCCTGACTGAATTCCCAACATAGGACACTATTTTTCAACCCCAAAGCTGGTGCCGAAGCACCCTTCACCGAAATCCAACACCAATTTTACTGCATGAGCAAAATCTGCTCCCAAGAGAACTGGAGCTGGCAAGGTCTGAACTACCTGGAAATTGACTTGTTTGGTACTGACTCCAAACTCTA